CAAGTCCCCCCCCCCCTCATGGCAACAGTACTCCCCAGTGGCAGTGATGGCCTGTGCAGCGTGACAAAAACCTCAAGGTGTCGGCCTGGCGTCTAAATTTCCCAGGTCCCAATCTGCTCAAGGATTCTTGTGATGTGCTGGTACCCCAGATGTACCCCTAATCCAAGGTGGGGCCTCCTTGGATTGGACTTGACCCTTGACACAGGATCTCTAGGAGTGTCCTGCGGTGTCTGGCACCAGTGGGTTGGCGGCAGATCCATTTATTCCGTCAGTGGAGCCAGTTACTACTTGCTGTGGCCAACGTGTTTGACGAACTTACCTTTAATGCTTCGGAATAGCAATAAAACAATTTCAGAAACTATGGAGTGTAATTCATTACTTGTACATCAGAATCTCATGGTAACACTTTCGTTGTTTATCTAAAGTCATGATGTGATTATGTGGTAGGTGGTGTGTGTGTATGTGTGTGTGTGTATTGGAGAACGAGTGAGAGAGATCCAGAAAACACACACACAAACAGATGAAAAGAGGGTTTCTGTTGATAATGAGGCAGATTTGACATTAGCCTCATTGGGATGTGGTGTTTATTTCTCTGCCTCTTCCTCCCACAATTCCCTCTGACCACAACTCCCTGTGTCCTGACAAACTGAGGGAGGGAGAGACAGAGACAGAGACAGAGAGAAGCAGAAAAAAAAATGGAGAGGTGAAGAAAGAGGGAGCAACCCACAGACCACATAATGGTTGTGACATCAGTTATACGGCTAATGCAGAGAGAGAGAGAGAGAGAGAGACTTCAGTTTGACTGCTGCGTGTGTTCGGCTTGTCGTCAGCCAACTTTCCATCTGTAGTGTTTTACAGAACTGTACACAACTCTGCGATAAATGCAGTATCCCAACATAAAGTAGTAACAGAAGAAAACAGCCTCCATGCTCAGAATAAGTGTCGAAGGCTAGAGGTGTGGACATGTGTCGGCTATCTCTTGGCTCTTACAACACCTCCTCATATCTCCGTCTATCTCTGTTCCAGTCTCCACTCTGTCCTCAGCCATAAAGATTAGACGCCCCTCTTCAAGGTCCACAGGTCTGACTTAAGTCCAGAGGTTACCGCTGCCTGGTTAACTAGAGCCGTCTGACACACCAACACCTCACACACTTGGCAGACGGACACACGGAGGTGAGTCAACCGGAATCTGTCTTTCATTTCTGATCATGGACTTTCTTCTATTTTACACCAATGACAAAAAATAATGCTACAAAACAGCAAAATAAAGAGTATTTTCACAGTCGCTTTGGTCCAAACAATTTGGTTTAACGTTCGCGCGTACTCCAAGCTTTCTCCCTGTTGAGCCAAAGAGTTGCAGCAGTATAGAGAAATGATCAGCCCCAACTGATACACTCGTGTGTTTTGCTGTGCAGAGATGTTACTAGGTGTTAATGCAGTCAACTTGATCTCAATCCAATAGCGTGTAGATACTGCTAAAAGCTCAATGCTAGCTCCGACACACACTCACACTGTACTCTCGCTTCAATTAACAGGCCTCCGTCTGGGCAACTCGATACAGACTAAGTGGGGAGAAAGCAGAGGAAGATGAGAGTAGAGAGAGACAGAGATTCCTTTATGTGTCTTCACTGATTCTTTGGATTTTAATATTTCATAATTTTTAAACAGTTTGGTGCTCCTCTACTTCCTTTCCTCCATTCCTTCGCCTCATCTTCTACAGCTGTTCCTTCCATCCGTCTTCTCTCTAACTTGCTCTTACTTTACTGTCTTTTTTTTTTTGTCTCTCTTTGGCCTCAGTGGTCTTTCCATCCCCCCCTTTCTCTGTCTTTACCTCCGTGTCTGCTCTATCTGTCTATCTATCTTCAGGTGTTATCTGTCCATTTTAAGCGGAGGGCAATTAGGCCGTCAGTCTCATTAATAATACATTGTTAAGCTTGTTAATTATTTACCGTAATTGCTGATTTAAGTTTCCCTTCCCTTGACACAAACAGCCACCAGGGGAGACACACACACACACACACACACACACACACACAAAGAGGTCACTCGCTCTCAAAGGTGACAGATGGATTGAGTTTCTCCTGCTCTCTTTTCCTCCCTATTTTGTCCCTTTGTTTGTGTGGCGCATGAGTGTGTGTGAATATGCAGATTGTGTAGTTGTAGATGGCGAATCACGGCGCTCAGATCAATACAGCTGATTGAGTGTAAATGAAAAGAGTGCAGCAGCTAACAAACCTGATTGTCGCCGTGTTGCTGCGCTTTGTTAACAGGGCTGCAGGCAACAGGGAATACGATTGTTTTTATTAGAGGATGGAGTCTCAGGTTTACGTACTGAACACGATTAGCTGATTTATCAATCGGTTGATCAACAGGAAACTGATCAGTCAAACTAACGTGTTGCAAAGAGGCTAAAACTAAAGCTGCACCCATTTTCATTTTTCCATTCATTCATCTCTCTGTGTGTTTCCGTGCAGGTCGGTGTCATCTCCAAGCACAGTGAAGCCGGCTGAAGTTTTCACTCAGCCGACAGACAGACAGACGGTTACAGTGAATGACAGTGACATGTTGCTGTCAGTAACAAGGATTCATCCTGTTGTGATGCTGCAGGCTGACAGGAAATCACTGTTACTGTGGGCGAGCGTCACACGAACGCACCCTGCTACTGTAGCCTGTCCCTCAGGTTTTGTGATATCACTCTGAAGAAACGAAGATTTCAAATATTGAATGAATTTATTTTTGCAATTTCGCAGCACCAGGCACTAAATAATGAGTTTTATGTTTGAATATTTGCATGAAGGTGAGGAATAAAGAACAATATCAGCTGTTGATGTCAGCATGTGTCTCATATCTGACTGCATTCTCAGTACTTTAGTGGAATTTATTGAGTTTTTTATTAAGTTTATTTGGACGCTTTAACATCACAGCCGATGAGAACAGAGGGATCTGTACACCGATGTCAAATGAGCAAATATAAATTCCACAACATTAGGTTCATGCACTCCCTCTGTCACCAGCAGCACTTGCACCTTCACCTTGCTTTTGAGTTGAGGTCACCTTTATCACCACATGTAAAAGCTCAACCTGCAAGGTAAGTAGTGAGTGCACAGGTCATATAGATGAACACTGGCTCATGAACACTGGCTAAACCGGCAATAAGGAGCAAAGACACCCTTACAGTAACTGTGGTGGAAGTTTTCACGTTGCTGTCCATGGTGCTGGAGACATCAGTGGATTGTAGTAGTAATGTCCAGTATATATTCTTCCTCAGTTTTATTAAAACACATTGATAGCTTTCTTTCAAAAAAGGCACCAGGTATGGATAGATTACAGATAGAAATATATTCTCTTCTAGTCCATACCCATTGGTAGCTTTGTCACCTTCTACCTATGCCAATCCTCAATGCCTATGTGCAGTTTCACATAGAATGACCACGTCAGTGAGTAGAAAAACGTGGGACAGACAGAATGACAAACTGACAGAATGACACACTGACAGTTTCCATGATTATGTACAGCATACCATACCATGACTTAGTCATACCAAAAATTAAAAAAACAACAACATTGGTCCACAGGGGGAGCCACAGAGATCAGTCGCATTTTAGCCATTTTAAAGCATTTTTCTGTTGTTATAGCGCCACCCAGTTGCCAATTAGAGTTAAATTTCTCCAGTCACCTTGAGGCGTCCTGTTCTACATATCTACCAAGTTTAGTAAAAATCCATATGGCGGTTAGGCCTAGATAAGAAATGAGCTCTCTAGCGCCCCCATTTTGTTTGATGGGGTCAATAATGGAGGGGTCCCCTCAGATTATGTGTGGTCATATGCCTACAAAGTTTTCCAACTTTTGCCTAGAGGGAACTTTAGATATTGGTCCCTAGATTATGTTCACCCAGTTTCATGCAGATCGCTCAAACTTCCTAGGAAGAGATCCATTTGAAGTGTTTTTCAAAAAATTCAAAATGGCGGAAAATCTATGTAAGCGGAAGTTATGGGTTCTTGAGGCAAATTTGTTCCTCATGAGGAGAGGCATCTCTGTGCAAAGTTTCATGTCTCTACGACATACGGGGCATGAGATATGCCCATTCAAAGTTTGCAATTTCAATCGGTTGCTATAGCGCCCCCTTTGGCCAATTGATGTAATATTGCTTCATTCTCATCCTCCCATGACCCTCTACCACTGTGCCAAATTTCACATGGATTGACCAAGTCAGTGAGGAGAAAAATGTGGAACACACACACACACACACACACACACAAACAGACACAGTTTTTGTCATTATATAGTAAGATAAGATATAGTAAGATGGTGGACACTGATTAGTCCATTATTAAAGATGCATGAAAGCACCACATTCTCCCACAAACACAATGTACCAAGCGTCAGTGTGATACCAAAACCAGGACGTATTGACCTGATAGTTGATTCAGTTGTAACAATAAAATTATTAGCAAAGTCCTAAATAATCCAAGATACTTCCAAATATAAATCACTACAGCCAAGCTGGCTTCATACAAAAGAGAAGCCCATACACATGCTGCTTTTATTGCGCCCTAAAATGCCCCTTTTTTTCAGTGTGCGACGGCTGTGCCGTTATTTCGACTCCACTAAAAATAGTCCTTAAACAAAGTCACTATTTTTCCTTGGCGAGAAATATTCCAACTGGAACACTGAACTGGCTTTAGTAAAGAAACTACACACATGTCCGTGTGCCAGCGAGCTAAACTTTACTTTCTGGAGTGTTGGGATGTGACGTGCATGTTACTATATTACTAAGTGAGAGACCTGACTCTAATTACCTTCAGTTATACTGTACAGTCTCCTATCAGAGTCGGAGTGTGTTCTGTTGGTGCGAGCTCACATCACAACTGGCCATCTGCTTAAAAACTAAATCTACCAACACACACACACACACACAAACACACACACTCCCCCCTCTTAGCCCACACTGATGTGGTTTCACCCGGCTAGTTCCAGACAGGGCCTGGTGTGTGTGTGTGCGTGTGTGTGTGTGTGTGTGTGTGTGTGTGTGTGTATTTATTTACCTGCCACACAGTACTGTTGCTGCACTAAGCCCTTCACTGTGACCCTGGGGAACCTGTATTCTAACACACACACACACAAACTCACTCGCCTGCGAGCATACACGCATGTGCACACAAAATTAAATACTGACAAAACCTGTGCCTACACACACACACACACACACACACACACTCGTTTGCGCATATACACGCACTGTTGAAGGACACAATAAAACCTCTCTCTCTTGCACTCACAGACCCCGCGAGGCCTCCCTTTAGCTCTCTGTTAGACGTTTGGTCATGACACGCTGGAGGAAAGGCGGCCCAGCGGAACCGACTACGGGCAAACACAAACAAATAACAGCAGCCAGATGCCAAAACAGCAACAGGAGAGCTGAGCGGCAACAAGAGGAGTAGAAACTCACACACACACAGAACTACTGGTTTGTCAGGACAACGTCGGAAGTGATTGTGAAAAGACAGGACAGATTTTGGTTAAAGTCCTCTGATACTTTGTGCATGTATAGCTTGTTGAGAATGAGCACATAAAAAGCTGAGCAGCAGTGATGTTACTTTATACTGTAGTCAAGAAAGCCAAGAAGGGAATGTCGTCACACTGGAGTGACAGACAGGTGGAGTCCGAGCAGTGGCGTGTATACCATGAAATAAAAAGTGGATGTTGTTGCCCAAAATTTGGGATAAAGTCTCTCTTAGACCCCATCCCAACTAGGCTACTTAAAGAAGTCTTACCTTTAGTTAACACTAATATGCTAGACATGTTCAACGTGTCCTCAGTAACAGGCTATGTACCACAGTCCTTTAAGGTAGCTGTAATTAAACCTCTCCTAAAGAAGCCCACCCTGGATCCAGAGGTGTTAGCCAACTATAGACCAATATGTAATCTTCCCTTTCTTTCAAAGATCCTTGAGAAAGTAGTCGCAGACCAGCTGTGAGACTTTCTCCATGATAATAATTTATTTGAGGAATTTCAGTCAGGATTTAGAGTGCATCATAGCACTGAGACAGCACTAGTTAAAATTACAAATGATTTTCTGATTACTTCAGTCAAAGGACTCATCTCTGTGCTTGTTTTATTAGATCTTAATGCCGCATTTGACACAATTGACCATCAAATTCTACTGCAGAGACTGGATCACTTAATTGGCCTAAAAGGTTCTGCACTAAGCTAGTTTAAATCCTATTTATAGGATCGATTTCAGCTTGTTAATGTTCATGATGAATCATCTTTGCATGCCGGAGTTTGTTTCGGAGTTCCACAAGGTTCTGTGCTCGGACCACTTCCGTTCCCTTTATATATGCTTCCCTTAGGTCACATCATTAGAAATCACTCTGTAAACTTCCGTTGTTATGCAGATGATATACAATTGTATCTATTTATCAAGCCAAAGAAACAGATCAATTAACTAAACCTGAAAGATGCCTTAAAGACGTAAAAACTTGGATGAATTCCAATTCCCTTAAGTTAAATTCAGACAAAACTGAATTTATTGTTCTCGGTCCCAAACACCTTAGAAACTCTCTTTCTGAAGATAGTTTCTCTGGATGGCATTGCTCTGGCCTCTAGCACTACCGTAAGATCAATATTTGTCTTTTAGCTCTCATATAGTAAAACAAACTTCAAGGTCTGCATTCTTTCATCTGCGTAATATTGCAAAAATTAGGCCTATCCTGTCTCATAAAGATACAGAAAAATTGGTCCACGCATTTATTACCTCTAGGCTGGATTACTGTAATTCCCTGTAGTCGTTGAAAACTCCAGCTGATCCAGAATGCAGCGGCACGTGTACTAACAGGAACTAAAACAACAGATTTTGCTAGTCACCCATTATTAGCTGAAGCACTCTGGACTTTCTCTCAGACTCATAGCTTCACAAATTATATGTATTCTTTATACTATTTCTTACACACCGCTGGTCTGAGTCACTACATCTCCAGACAGAACAGCACAATTGTATTTCAGCCTGCAGTTAGCCTGTTAGAATTTAGGTTCCCCAGGGTCACAGTGAAAAGCTTACTGCAATAACAGTACTGTATGGCAGGTAAATAAATACACACACAAATAATTCATTCAATTCCTGTGTCTTTCCTACATATCAGTATCGGCATTCAGAAGTCCAAGTTGCCTTTATTAGTATGCAGAAAAACTCACACACACACACGCAAACACACACACGTCCTGACACACTTGACTGTATTAGTCATCAGGGATTGGCTGAATAACCAAACTGTGTTGAGTGCTGAGCAGAGCGTATTGTATCACGGCCGTCCAGAAATGGTTGAGCAGCGGCCCTGGAGATCTATGTGGACCCTCTCTGTCTCTTAAAGATTTCTGCTCATATTTCCCTCCAGCAGAAACTGATATTATCATACAACAGTCAGTTCACTTCTCCTGTTCCCTGTGGAGCCCTTTCCCTTAAACAACCCCCAATAACAGTAAAGTTACAGGTTAAAGAGGTTTTACCCATGCGTCCCCAAAATAGACATACACAAGGGTCAATAAATGGCAAAAATGCGTCTTGAAAAAGCACCTGTTTGCATTATGTTTTGTATTTAATCTGATGTTTTAGTGTCTTTTGCCACAGTGTGAATGAGCTGCCTACCACACACAATGGTGCTTCTTATGACTCTTGTTCTTCCCCCGAATCAAAACAAATTAAATGTGTCTCCAGAATGTCATAACTGCAAGAGTAGAGGAGCCTCTGAAACAACAAAAGAAAGGTACAGTCCAAGCCAGACGTCGCGCTAGACTTTTTCGTCGCTGGTCATTTTGACAGACAGGGTCATAAAA